GGATGTGTATGTTAATTTTTTTTTTAAATACAAGTAAAATGTTAGAAAAGATTACAAACATGAATACAAATTAAATATAAATGATACAAAAAAAAAAAAAAAAGAAAGAAAAAAAAATAAAAATAATAATAATAAATAAATAAATAAATGAAATATTTAGTATGTGAAGCATTTTTGTACTATATATTCAATATAGTTAGAACATAAAAAAAAAAAAGAAAAAAAAAAAACCTTATTCTAAAATGTAGGAAAGGAACATATACATTCATATATAATTTTCTATTTTTCATTTGTCTTATAAATATTTTATTTTTTGTTATTTTTTAAATAATAAACATGTAACTTAATTTAGTAATAATAAAAATATGAATCCGCAAATATATATATATATATATATATGTACATATTAATAAGTAGAACTTTTATACTTTTGAGAAAATTTTAAAACCTTTTGATATACCCTATTTTTAAGATTTTCATCGGATATGTGGTCTAAAATTTCCTTAACAAATGAATTCATCATTATTTCTCTAGCAGTTCTTTCAGATATTCCTCTTGTCATTAATGAGAAGATGGGTTCTTTTTCTAAATCACTTATGGTTGCACCGTGATTGGCACATTCTATATCACTTGGTATAATTTCTAGAGTGGGTATACATACAGCACTTGCTCCAAAATTCAATAGAATAGATTTACATAAGGTATTTAATTTTGCTTTTATCGCATTTCTTTCTATTCTACCTCTACTTCTCCAAACGGCATGTGCTTTATCAGATACTAAACATTTAAATAATTGATTAGTTTCCATAGATGGGTGTTCGTGATGAAACATTTCATATTGACTAATATTTTGTTTATCATCTAATAATGATAAACCATAACTTTCTTGTTTACATTCTTTTTCTCCTTCTATTTGTAAATTAATTCTTGAGGATAAGCTACCTAGTAATATATCAACGAATTTATAATTTGCATTTAATCCATTTTTTACTGATACGTTATGAAAATGCCATACATTATTTCCTAATTCTTGAGATAATGTATGTTTTACATTCGATTTTTCTTCTAAACAAATTCTTGAGAATCCATTAACTAGTCCACTATTACTTTTATTTAATGATATATGTGATTCATATACATTTATTTTGCTATTTCCTTTTACATATACAACTAATCTAGGATTGGTTATTGGATTGTGCGTATGATATTCTGTTAATTTGATTTGTGTATATTTACTTTTTTTATTTTCTTTACATTCATTTTTTTCAATATCACAATTTTGTATTGTATCATCATGACTAGATATAATTTTTTCCATATGACACTTTTGAACACTTTCTTCTTTTTCATATTCGTTATCATTTTGTTCATTAATTGTATTTTGTTTATTGTTACTACAATTATTTTGTTCGTTATTGTATTCAGAATTATTATATGAATTGGTTTGTTTATTATTAGATGGCATATTTTCATATACATTATATTTCGACTGTTTTTCATATATATCATTATCATCATCATCATTATTATTATTATTATTAATATCTTCATTTTTTGAGGTTGCTATAAATAAACATGAATAAATTTATCACTTAAATCAATATTTTCATCCAAATACACTACAGCACAATCTTTGATAGAAGCTAAATTTAAGGATGAGAATTTGGCCATACCAAAATCACTTTTTCTATAATCATAAATAGGATAATCATTATCAAATTTTCTTGATTGTTTTCCAATTTGACCTCTAATAAATGGTTGTGTATTTGTTTTTATACCAATTTGAATGTTCAGGTATAAAATATAATTCTTTATTAATTAAATATTCAATTTCTACATCTTTTATATTAAAAAAGCTACCAACAAATATTTTACTTTTTTTTTTTTTTTCAATTTCTTGTTCATCTTGAATATGTTGTTTCGGTGTATTATTATCACTTTGTGGATTATTTTCATTTTCTTTATTTTGGTTTATTTCAGATTTTTTTTTTAATTCATTATCTAAATTTTTTAAAATACTAATATCATCAGATAAATATTCATCTACTATTCCATCTCTTACAACTAAGGTATAAAAAGCTTTTTTATATTTTCTTTTGCACTTGTCAATTTGTTCTTTATTAAAATCATATGCACTATTAGATATATCTTGATATTTCATTTTTTGTTCCTTATAATTTTGTGAAGGTATTTCATTATTATTATCTGCCATATTTCTGTTTTCACTTAAATTTATTTTTCGTTAACATTTTTTTTATTTTCATTATTGATTTTATGGATAACTCCATGATAATTATTGTTATCATCATTATTGTTATTATTATTATTATTATGATTATCATCATTAATATTATCATCATTATAATGATTTATTTTCGCATTGAGTTCATCATTTTCCTTATTTTGTTGGTTATCCATTTTTACCTTATCAAAATGATCACATATATCATTTTGAACCTTTTCACTTTTTTCGAATGTATTATCTAATATTTTCATTTTATATTCAACCAATTCTTCCTTTGAAATATTTCTTAAACTTATACTGTTATCAAAATTTTGTTTATAAAATGTTTTTAAATTTACTTGTTGTCTCCATGCTTCTAGTTTTCTATTTGGTGTTGGAATTTCTTTGAAAGCTGTTTTTCCAGAATTTTGTAAAATTTTCCATGACAGATATTTCGGATCATCAATATTTAAATAAATTTGTGGTATAGGTATTTTATTGATTGTTTCTATTATTTCTCCTTTTTTCGTTATATTTCCATAGATTAACAAAATCTGTTTCATCCAAAATATTTTTATCATATTTATTTTTGAATAATTGTATTTTGTCATCAAATAAGGTTTTTTTTATAGGTTAAATTACTAGATATTTCTTCATTTATTTCATCATCTTTACTTTTATTATTTTGATTATTCGTTTGATCCTTCTTGTGTTGTATATCAGATATATTATCAATTGTGGAGGTATCATTATTTGTTGATTTTATTCTTTATTGGTATTATCCTTTTATTTATATCTATTATTATTAATCATTATTATTATTTTTTATTATAAATTATAATTGTTTATATTGTTATAATTTTCTTATTTTTTTTTTGTTTTTTCTTCATTTTTATGTCTATAGTACTTTATATATTTGGTAATATAAGTTTTAATGTTTCCAAATGGGTAGAATTATTAATTTTTAGATATATTTTTTTATTACCATTTTTTGGATGATAATTAATATTTTTAAATGTGTATATATCTGGATTAATATTCTTAAAATTAATGTTATAAGGAATGTGAGCAAATTTTTTGTTGTATTTTATTTCTTTTTATAAAATATCCATTAGTTTGACCATATAATTTTTGTTTTTGTGTAATTGTTAATGTTACGGTTTCTATTCTTTTCTTTTCTTTTTTTAAATTTGAAAACATAAAATTTTTAAATTTTAGTTTTAATTTGTTTGTTATTTTAATTTGATATCATTTTTATCATATATGTCTTTTAAGTATATATCATTCCAATGTTTACTTTCTACATAATCATAAATTTTCAAAAGTTTATTTGTTAATAATAGAAATATAAAAATGTAATTACGAAAGAATACATTAGGCATAGTTTTTTTCTCTTATATATAAAATATGGTATAATTATATATATATATATATATATATATTATTGTGTTCGCTAAATCATTCTTATCAAAAAATTATACACCCAAAAAAAAAAAAATAACTTAAATATTTTAAATATTACGTCATTATACAGTCTTAAATTAATATATTATGTATATTAAGAATTATACATTTACACACAAAAAAAATTAAAATAAAATAAAAATTATATATATATATATATATATATATATATAAATTGATATATATATATATCAAGGTAAATAATTGTGTTATACTAAATAATTATATTCATAACAAATGTGTGATTATATAAAATATATATTTTATGTTTCATATATAAATGTGAATGATTTATAAATCTCTTCTATTATAATAATATATATATATATATATATATATATATACATATATATATTTTAATTATACATATATATATATACCTGAGTATATTTAAAAGTTTATAACAAATTATAGGAAATATAATAGCTTTTTTCTTTTATTGAAAAAAAAAAAAAAAAAAAAAAATAAAGATATATACATATATATATATATATATATATATATATAGTGTACCAAAAATATTATTATATGAGAATATAATAATTCACAAAAAAATGATAAATAAAATATATATAAACCTTGAAAAAGAATAAATACTATCAGTGTATTATTTATGCCATTTAAAGTTTTTATATTATTTTTCTCATCAATATACTTTTGCAAAAATATAAATAATATATATATATATATATATATTTATATTTTGTGCTTCTTTAAATAACTCTAATTTGTAACAACCAAATTTATTTTATACAAAAGAACTTATGGAAAATATAACGCATATAATTATGCAGATATGCTTTCCTGGAAACCCTAATCCAAAGATATTAAAATATATATATATAATATATTTATGATATAAGATATTAAATTTTAAGGGTGTTATAATAATATATAATAGATAAAAGGTTATAAGATTATATTCTACGTTTATGTAGTTCTCTGTACATATACATAATTTATATAATTGTAGCTTTATTATATGTAAAATATTTTAAAAGGATATATAAATGTCTTTTTAATAATATATGAATATAACGAATGGCTTTATAAGAACAATATTCTTAATTTTCTTATTTTTATTTATTTTCCCTTTTCTCATTTTTAATAAATGATATAATATAACGGAAAAAAAGAAATAATTTTTTAAATTTAAGGTTATTTTAAATTAATTAAAAAAAAAAAAAAAATTACATTATGTATATATAAGATATATATAATAAATATATTATTTTTTAATAAATTAGTTTTATATCATATTATAAAAAAAAAAGAAAAAAAGATACATATTTTACATTTTCTTTTTTTTAGTATTTTTTTTTTTTTAATTTTTTTTTTTTTTTTTTTTTTTTTATTTGCTTTAAAAAATTTTATAAGAGTAAGAAAAGAAAGTAACATAAATTTTATTAAGCACGGATGGCTGAGTGGTCTAAAGCGTCAGACTCAAGATCTGATGAACGTAAGTTCGCATGGGTTCGAACCCCATTTCGTGCATATTTAAAAAGGAAAATAGCGCCTATAAATATAAATTTTAATAAATAAATAATTTAATTATATTTTATATATATTATTTTATATTATATATATATATATATATATATATGTATATATTATAAATATATATTTATATATTTTATAAATTTATCTTGCACCAAAAAAAAAAAAAAAAAAATTAAAAAAAAATTTTCTATATATTAAATATATTAGAATATATTAATTATCATTATTGAAAAAGTAATCTTTATACTTTTTTTTTATTTTTCTTAATATTTTATTTTATTAAATATTTAATAAAAATTTTATTTATAGAGAAAGGAATATTTCTAATGAAAAGAAAATATTATTATATGAGTTTGTATATAGTTAAAATACCGTGTAATAAAAACGTTATAAAAATTTTTATATTTGAAGGATATTAATAAATATTGTCAATTATTTTTATTCCTTTATATATTATATAGATTATATATATATATATATATATATATATAAATGTTTATTTATTTATTAAGAACAGAAAAGAAATAATATTATCATCTTCTATATTTTGTATATTATATTTAATTATTCTTATTCCAAAGTTATCATACACATAATATATTAATTTATATTTATTTTTTTTCTTTATGTATGTAATGTTATTGAAAATATAGATTTATATGTACTTATATTTAAAAACTATAACCTTGTTGTGTTAAATAAGAATGTCTATTGAGAGGTAATATCAATGGAAAGCGTTAAATTCTTTATAAATTTATATATAGGAACATTTTATAAGGTGTATTAAATATGGAAAGGTTTTAATTTATTTTAATTTAAACTAATATTGATGTTAATATTAAAATATGATATATTAGAAAGAGATTATATATATAAATATATTTTTGTAATCATTATAAAATATATGACAAATTCAATATGTATTTATTTATTAAATAAATTGGAATAAAGGAAGAAAAAAGGAAAGGGTTATTTTTTTATATATTTTAAAAGTTTTCATAATATAAAGTATATATATATATATACAATACATTAGTCTTATACGAAAAATGTTTTTCCATACTAAATAAAATATTATCTTTTATTACGATGTAACGAATATATATATATTAGATTTTTCTATATTATTATTTATATAACATTGCTGTAATGTAATTTTAGGTGAAAATAATTATTTAAAAAATAAAAAAAATAAGGAATATTGTTCTTAACTATTATATTACATTACAATAAATATTATATATATATATATATATATATATATATTAATTTATCTCTTCATATTAAATAAAAATAAAATAAAATTATGTATTCATTTGAAAAAAAAGAAGAGAAAAAAAAAAAAATAAAAAATATATATATATAATATATATATATAATAAAATTAATAAATTTATACGAACAACCCGAAGGTTTTCCATATTTTAGATTGACCTGTAAACTTATTGCTAAATTTAAGGTTTGGCTGCGTCAACCGGGAGTCGAACCCGGGTCACCTGCTTGGAAGGCAGGTATCATGGCCGTTAGACTATTGACGCCTTATAAAATATTGAATTATCATAATTTATATGGAGAAAAAATTATGATAAAAAAAAAAAAAAAAAAAAATATAATTTTTCATATATATGGAACAATATATAAATATATATTATTTTATTATATTATATATATAATGAAAAATAAAATTATAAAAACATTATATCTTAATTATATTTATATAAATAATTTTAATATTTATTTAATTTTTGGAATAATTTTGAAAGTTAAAGAAAAATTTAAAAAAGCATATATATAATAATAAAAGCCTTAGATAAATATTATATTTATATATAATGGTATATTTAAAAATAAATAATAAAAATTATCTTTTCGATATATAAGTATTAAAATATAATTATTATATAATATATATATATATATATGTATGTATATAATATAGTTTGTTTTTTTACTTTTTATTGAACATAAAAGTATATTAATGTAATACTTCTTTTTTTACCAAAATATAAATATACATAATATATATATGATGAATCAAAAAAAAAAAAAAAAAATCATATATAAAAAAAATAATTAATAAAAAGAATATATGTTTAAATTATATATTTATCCATTGAATAAATATAAAGATATAAATGAAATAAGAAAAAAACTTAATTGTATTTTTATAATAATATCCTATAGTTATAAAATAATGTTTTTTTTATATGTAATAAAATAGTAGGTCTTTTTTTTTTTTTTTTTTTTTTTAATAAGATTATAAGATATATTTATAAAAAAAATAAAAATTTGATCTATATATAAAAGTAACT